AGATAGTGGTGGACTTAAAAAAACGATGCATTCAGGTGAAAGGTGCGTACAGCAGCACTTATAGGAGGTGATAGCTCACATCTCATTACCTTCCACTCTTGCCCACCAGAAATTGAATTATGTGGTAAGCCGATAGTGACACCACCGGACGGGAAATCGATTAGAGACGCACGGTGAGGCTTGAACCAGTGGCTTTTGCGGCTACATGATAGGTGGTGCCGTCTTGGGTTGCACTGATGTACAGTTCATTACAAGAAGTCTGATTCAGTTAAAATGAAATTAAGGTTCACCACTAAAACCCATTAGGACCCTGATATGGGAAGAGCACACTAGCTGGTTTCCCTCAGGTGCAATGCAGACAGTAAAGGCACTATTCAAGTATAAAGGAAGAGCTAAGCAATAATTTAATCTGCATATAATACAAGATCTTTTAAAGCATATTTACTTGTGCAGATGTAAGTGAACCATGACAGAGTCATGGTATAGCAAAGGAAACCAATATAAGTTAGACTTAAAATGCATCCCAATAAAACTTCAGATAGTTACTAATATTAAGAGTGCAGTAGTTTTGATCTATTGAAGTGGGGTCAAGAACAATATTCAGTTGAAGAGAACAGAGTTTAGTTCTGACCACATTAACAGGTTCCCAATTACCAGTAGTTAGAGGCTATATTAGACCACCACCAATCGTACAAATTTTGGGGGCTTCAGATTTATTTTGCAGGGGAAAGACAGCAGAGATCGCAAGAGAAGCTTCGGTACATGAATGGAGGAAAGAGTCCCAGGAGCACATGGATGGAGGAATATAGGTAAGTAACACATGACAAGAATAAACTTGGAACCACACAGTGGTACTCACAGTATGAGACTAAATTTGCCAGGATGTTGCATCAAATTGCGTGAGTGTCTTGATGTCTTGTCACGACGTAGACACAAAGTGTCTCACTTTAGTCCTGATTGATTCTCAATTTGGTTGCACTTCCAATATCAGCTCATCTTCAATGCCCCCAAATTTATCAGTTTGGTTTGACATGTGGTTAAAACCGTCCACAGGTTTCCTCACATTTCTTGCACTTTGACTCACAGCATCCAAACTGAAAAGGGTTTGAGACACGTTCCAGCTGGATCTAAAAGCTCTGTCACTAATTTTTTTTTTTTTTTTTAAACAGCTCAAACTTTCAGGTTCACAGGAGCGAAATTACGCAGGAAAACGGAAACTTTACAACTGTTTGGACACTTTTTAGGCATCTCACTGGCTTTGACTGTCCGCAATATAAATTTGAAAAACATTTTGCGAGACAATGTTCTCCTGATGGTGGACTCATGAACATTAACATTAGCCAATGTGAGAGAAGCCTTAAGTTGCTTAGAAGTTACCCTGGGGTCCTTTGTGACCTAGTCAACTGCACGCGTTGTTTTTGGAGTGATCTTTGTTGGTCCACCACCCTTGGAGACAGTACATGGTCTTGAATTTCCTCCATTTGTACACGATCTGTCTGACTGTAGATCGGTGGAGTCCAAACTCTTTAGAGATGGTTTTGTAAACTTTTCCAGCCTGATGAGCATCAACAACTCTTTTCTGAGCTCAGAAATCTTTGTTCCTGTCATGATCCACTTCCACAAACATACTGTGAAGAGCAGACGTTGATAGATCCCTGTTCTTTAAATCAAACAGGGTGCCCACTCACCTGATCATCATCCCATTGATTGACAACACCTGACTCTAATTTCACCTTTAGATAAACTGCGAATCCTAGAGGTTCACACACTTGTCACAACCATGTAATATTTTCCTCAATAAATAAATGACCAAGTATATTTTTGTCTCGTTTGCTCTTGGATCTATTTTTAGGACTTGTGTGAAAATCTGATGATGTTTTAGGTCACATTTATGATGATTCTCCTTCAGACAGAGATTATTTAGAACAATATGTCAAAATTCTTCAGCACTTTTACCTAAATTCTGTGTATCGGAGCAGCTCCTATTTTTACACATCTTCAGAAATGAAAACTACCGTTTCAGATCTGACAAAGTGGACTTTCGACACTAATGACAAAATATTTTCAACAAAGTGACAGAGTCCTGGCGAACCCTCATCTGCTCGGACGGCACACATGCAGCTGGATATATCGTTGGGGGTGATGCCGTCTACTTCTGCTGTCGAACGAGGACGCCGGAATTGCATAGCATTGGATTTATGATAACAGGTTTCCTGTTTTTGGAATAGTCTGGATCCTGGCTCATCAACAAAGACGGACGCAGCTAATTTGGACCTCGTCAGGCTGTTGTCTATGTGAAGGTTGGTTTGTGCTTTGAGGACTCAAAATCAGCCGATTTACAAGCAAAACCGTAAGTTGGAAGCGATTTGAATCGTAAGCCACCTGCGGCTTTGGGACTCGTCAGCATGGAAACGACCTTGGAGAGGCTCGTAAGCACGGACCAGTAGAATGCACCCTAATCTGGCCATTTTGAATCTTGGACGTATCAGTACAGACTCAAAATCTGACAAGGAAAAAAATAGTCTGCCTGAATAAATCAACAGTTGTGGCTATCTGAATGTAACTCCCCAGTTGGCCTCGAAACAGACAGACTTATCAATTTCTCCTGGGAAATGTGTAAACTAAGGAAAAGCTTTGTCTATTTCACTGCTGATTTTAAAGCAAAATAAATAAATAAATAAATACAGAAAAATAAAAAAAAACGGACAATCATCACAGACATTTGAAAAAGTAAGAAAATGTTTTGGTGAAAAACAAATGGCCAAATTTAGAAAAGCAACTTTTATTTCTTCAATAAATGGGGCCAAAATGGAAACAGAAAGGGCTTAAAGGAACAACACACCAGAACATGTAACCAAAGTATGAGGTACTGTTTGAGTTATTTCACCAGTAAAAGATGAACAATAAATTAAACTGTGTATATTTACATTTTTACAGAATAATCAGATCAGGCTGTTGTACCAAAGCTGACAAGTCTGTACACTTCAATTTGAATTTAGTATCCCATATAAAATGATGTAAACTAGACATTTCGATGAAGACTTTTAAAAAGTTTGGTTTCCATCAAGTCTCAGAATCAAAGAAATTATTAAATGAATCATTGCTGGGTTATGTTGAACCCTGTTGCAGCTTATCGGGATGGTATGTATTAGGAAGCATCAAAAGAAACAAAGACCTCACAGAAAGAAAACAGCAACAACGTGCACGAGAGTTGAAGAAAGTCACTCCGTGTGAAACGGTTAAACATTCGAACAGGCATACAATGTCCTCCAGAGGATCCAAAGCTACTTTAATAGGCAGAAAGAGCAGATGGATTTTTACTGCATCCTTTTTTGTTCGTTTCATGAAGTCATATTATTCCAAAACTGCAGCCCTGAAGGAATCCAGTCAATCTAATCCTAAAACATAAAGAGTACCATCGTCGGCAAACTATTATACAGCAGTCTAAAGGTGCTGGTCATAAAATTAGAATATCAGGAAAAAGTTTATTTATTTCAGTAATTCCATTCAAAAAGTGAAACGTATATTATATTAATTCATTACACACAGACTGATATATTGCAAATGTTTATTTATTTTAATGTTGATGATTATAACTGACAACTAATGAAAACCCCAAATTCAGTATCTCAGAAAATTAAAATGTGAAAAGGTTCAATATTGAAGAGACCTGGTGCCACACTCTCAGCTAATTAACTTAAAACACTTGCAAAGGCCTTTAAATGGTCTCTCAGTCCAGTTCTGTAGGCTACACAATCATGGGAAAGACTGCTGACTTGACAGTTGTCCAAAAGACGACCACTGATTCCTTGCACAAGGAGATCAAGACACAAAAGATCATTGCTAAAGAGACTGGCTGTTCACAGAGCTCTGTGTCCAAGTACATTAATAGAGAGGTGAAAGGAAGGAAACGTGGTAGGAAAAAAGTGTACAAGCAATAGGGATAACCGCACCCTAGAGAGGATTGTGAAACAAAACCCATTCCAAACCCATTCTTGAGTCGATGCTTCAAGAACCACCATGCTCAGACGTATGCAAGACAAAGGGTTCAGCTGTCTCATTTCTTGTATCAAGCCACTCTTGAACAAGAGACGGTGTCAGACGCGTCTCACCTGGGACTGCTACAGAGTTGTCCAAAGTTATGTTATATGATGAAAGTAAATTTTGCATTTCCTTTGGAAATCCAGGTCCCAGAGTCTGGAGGAAGAGAGGAGAAGCACAGAATCCACGTTGCTTGAGGTCCAGAGTCAAGTTTTGACAGTCAGTGATGGTTTGTGGTGCCATGTCAACTGCTGGTGTTGGTCCACTGTGTTTTCTGAGGGCCGTCAACGCAGCCGTCTACCAGGAAGTTTTAAAGCACTTCATGCTTCCTGCTGCTGACCAACTTTATGGAGATGCAGATTTAATTTTCCAACAGGACTTGGCACCTGCACACAGTGCCAAAGCTACCAGTACATGGATAAGGACCATGGTATCCCTGTTCTTAATTGACCAGCAAACTCAGCTGACCTTAACCACATAGAAAATCTATGAGGTATTGTGAAGAGGAAGATGTGATACACCAGACCCAACAATTCAGAAGAGCTGAAGGCCACTGTCAGAGCAACCTGGGCTCTCAGAACACCTGAGCAGTTCCACAGACTGATCTTAGACTCCAGGCCACGCCGCATTGCTGCAGTAATCCAGGCAAAAGGAGCCCCAACTAAGTATTGAGTGTTGTACATGTTCGTACTTCTCATGTTCATACTTTTCAGTTGGCCAACATTTCTAAAGTTCATTTTTTTTAATTGGTCTTAATATTCTAATTTTATGAGATACTGAATTTGGGGTTTTCACAAGTTGTCATAATAATAGACAATAAAAGAAATAAACATTTGAAATATATTAGTCTGTGTGTAATAAATGAATATAATATACAAGTTTCATTTTTTGAATGGAATTACTGAAATAAATCAACTTTTTCATGATATTCTAATTTTATGACCAGCACCTGTATTCCGTAATACCTACCGCTATCGATGGCCGTATAAAAATTCTACTACGATCAGAGTTAGTAGTAGCCATATCCTTTAGGACTTACTGTGAAAAAGAAAAAAATACAGGTAGTCAGCAGTTAGGATGTGTTTGGAGTGGGACAATGAAGCAAAGCGGAACACAGGGAGGTAGAAAACAGAGGCCCGAACTCAAAGAGAATGCGACGTTTAATCCTCCGGTAACTGTCCAGAACCGGCTGAAGAAGTCTGAGTGACGGAAAAAGATGAGAAAGAAAGCGAATGGCCCACATGTCCTTCAATAAACGGGTCTTGGTTGTTTCATGCTGTAGTGGGCTTCTGATGCGGACACGTATGCAGACTCTGGGAAAAAATCCTCGTGAAACTCTGCCAGAAACCTGGAAAAAAAACGAGGGGGGTCAGAAAAGGATTTACGATAAATATTCAGCTCCAATAAAAAAACATTAAACAAAAAAAAACAGAAAAGAATCTCAAATGACAGTTCACTCTGTCCTTCAGCACACAGGAACGCTTTTTGTAAATATGCAAAAGTTTTTAGTTTCAGCCTTGGATCCACACAAACTGCAGTTTAGAAGCATAGAACAGTATTTTTGAAAGAGGAAAAAAAATCCAGAACTCTACTATTGAAATCGATGATGACATAGCTTCACCTCTGGCCAAAATAACGGCAGAATACATGCTTGTATTTGGCTGGAAATGCTTGTTTCTCATCTACAGCTAAACCTTTTTATATAACCTGTGGCTGAGTGGTTAGAGCAGTTGTCCTCCAATGACAGAGAGGGGGGTTCGATTCCACCAGCAGTCACATGCTGAAGTGTCCCTGCGCAAGACACTGAACCCCTTATTACCCCTCAAGTGTGTCCCATCGATGTATGAATGTGATAAAGCACTGATTAGTCTTTACAGATCCAGATTACCAGTAGCTTTGTATAGATCCAGTAGAGTGCTGTATGAATGGGTAAATGAGGACACAGGTTGTATTGGAAAGCACTTTTGAGTATCTTGACTAGATTGAATGGCGGTATATAAAATAAATACAACCCAGTTATTTACTGCGTCAGTAAGACCAGACAGATTAACAACTGGATTGCAGAGCAAACAGGCGGTACGCAAATGTCCCCCTTCACTTAAGGATTTGAATAGTGAATCTTTGTAGTTCAAGTGCCTCAAGTGGAGGAGTTCAAGTATCTCGGGATTTTGTTCACGAGTGAGGGAATAATAGAGCATGAGATTAACAGATGGATTGGTGCAGCGTTTGCAGTATTGCATACCCTGTGCCGGTCCGTTGTGGTGAAAAGGGAGCTGAGCTGTAAGGCAAAGCTCCCTGTTTACCAGTCAGTCTATGTTCCTACCCTCACCTATGATCACAAACTTTGGGTAGTGACTGAAAGAATGAGATCTTGGATACAGGCGGTTGGAATGAGTTTCCTCCGCAGGGTAGCTGGACTCTCCCTTAGAGATAAGGTGAGAAGTTCAGTTATCCGGGAGCGACTCGGAGTAGAACCGCTGCTCCTCCACATCGAGAGGAGCCAGCTGAGGTGGTTCGGGCATCTGGTAAGGATGCTTCCTGAAAAAGATCACCAATATATATCAAGTATACATTTCAAAAACGTGGAAATGGGAATACTTTTAAAAGAAACCATTGTGTACAAAGACTTTACGCTGATATGCTTTAAACCTGGTGAGGAAAACCCTTCCCTCCAGCTCCGTGACAGATTCTGGACCCGAAATTGTCCGTAACGTTCCTGCATTTGAGCTGAGACAACTCCCAGACAACACCGTTCTGAACTTTTGTGGTCTTGTAGTTTCACTTCTTCCAAGTCAATTCCAATTCCAAATACTTTATTAATGCCAAACGGAAATTAAATGTAGCTCATTCAATTCAAAAATACTTTATTAATCCCAAAAGGAAATTAAGTGTTGTCGTAGCTCATCATCCTGGTTTCATTCAAGAGTTGTTAGATGCTGATAACTGTGGGCAGGAAGGATCTCCGGCAGTGAAGCCAAAGAATCTGGCCACAAAGATACCGATCCGTCCACCCATATCCAGCTTGTTGTCAGATCCAACGGGCCTCTTGGTCCTCCTGGGCAACAGGACTGCCCGAATACCAGGCAGAACTCCTCCCTGAGCAATGGTCACTCATCCCAGCAGTCTGACGAGCTACTTGTCATCACGGACAGACGGCTGAAGGTGTCCGGGGATGATTCCGGTCCTCCTGTTGTCACGAGCAGTTTCCCACCACCTCCAGGATCTCAGAGGTCAAGTACTCTAGCAACGCAGCTAGGTTGACGGGAATTCATCCATGGCACCTCCTTTTCAACTCATTTGGGATTTGGGGCTGTAGTTGAGGTATTTGAGCTTTTGAGATGTTAATCAGCTGCTCATCATCCTGGTTTCATTAAAAGTTATTCTAGAACTATATATATATATATATATATGCTGATATGCTGATGGCTGTGGGCTGGAAGGATCTACCACCGAAGTCCCACAACGAATCTGAAGAATTTGGCCACGGATGCAGATCCGTCCACCCAGACCCAGCAGGCCTCTCGGTCACTGCCCTCATGGTCACTCCCTCCCAGCAGCTTGTTGAGCTACTCATCATTGCAGACAGCCAGCTGCAGGTGTCGAGGGATGATCCTGGTCTTCTTCTTGTCATGAGCCACGGTTCCTGCCAGCTCCAAGGACCTTAGCAGTCAGTCACTCGAGCATCTCCGTCAGGTAGACGGAAATGCATCCACGGCACCTCCTTTACAACTCATTTGGGATTTGGGGCTGTATTTGAGGTAATATTTGAGCTTTGAGATGTTAATCAGCTGCTCCAGGTTGTAAAAACCTCTTGTTGCCATGGTTACACTTCATAACAAATGTCCAAAAGTAAAAAGGTTTCAGTAAAAATCCTTCCAGCTGCACAATATCCGATATCAGAGGAAGTAATCATCGGAAAAAAAGTGATTTACATCCAGAAAGAGAGGGAATAAAGTTTTCAAAAGTAATCTCCCAGAATGAAAGCAACAGTTCCTCCAACATGCAGCCATCTTGAGCAGCACAGTGCTAGAACTTGTCATTCAGGAGTCCACAAAAAGAATTTGGTTCCTGTTCCCATATTCTCAATCTCAAGAGTTGTCGTCTTCTAACGTTTCCTGTTCGTGTAAGCTTTACGAGCACGCTCCACGCCAGGTTTCCCGTTTTGGTGCAATTCTGCAGCAGCGCTACACTACATACACGGCCTCCATAGCTACTCTGTTCTGGGTAGTTTTCTGCTCTTCAGTGTGAATGAAAAATGTTTCCAGAAATGGTGCCGCGTTTAAAGATACGCTTAGCGGCGTTTCCCTTACGGTTATCCAAGGAGGGCGCCCCGCACTGTCAACAGAACAGCGTGCCACGCCTACCAAAATTGTCCTTCACCCACAACAATAAAGTGAAGAAACCCTTGTCAGGTGGATAATAATAAGTGGCTGCTTTTATAGGCAGTCCCCAACCAGTGGATCAGCAAAAGACCTCTGTACACATTTCCTCTTCCCTTTATTTATCCCTATACTATCAGCAGAAAACCAATCTATAGCAGACAGGATGTGAGAGTTACCGACCAACAGTCAGGCAGAGAAGAAGTGACCCCCCCCCCCCACCACCACCTATCTAATCAGTAGTGAGGCAAACTAATCCAGAATCTTCTTAGTATCCGCTACTCGGCCAAATCCTCTAAATCTTGCCATCTCATCTTAGCTCCACCAACCGTCCTAATCTTAATGCAAACAAATTATTGCCATCATTGCAAAATTTATGGACGCTTCAACCAGGAGTGACTGGGACGACATGGCGGGGCGCTAACAGAAAAGGCGGCTTGAGAGATTCTATGCTATGATTTTTAATTTTTTTTAAATAAATATCTTAATATTTTTGATGTAGTTGAAGAATTTGTTTTTTTGTTTTTACAAAAGCATCTGTGTAACATGTAGATCAACACACTTAATCGCAGTCATTCTTGCAGGGAAATGCAAAAAGGGAGGGGAGAGGCGGGAGATCAACGGCGGTCAAATCCCTCAATGCACTGCACGTCAAGTCTCTGCGACATCAATCAGCGTCTGCCCGCTCCGCACAATCTGCCCCGAGGCCGATTACAGAGGGAGAGGGGAAAAAAAAAAAAACCACAAAGTCTTTCCCAAAGCGCTCCGGTGTTTGCAACGTTTGCTGCCGGCGTCCCGCCGAGGCTCCAACACGTCGAGCATATCAATTATATCCATTAAAAACAAAAGGATCTCGTTTAAGCAACTTACAGTCAATCCGCTTCTCTAAAACCAACGTCAAAAAAGTTGCACTCTTAGTTGAACGACAAAAAGAAAACAGCAGTTCAGCGCCGCCACAGAGACGCAAAGGGCTCGTCGCCCTTTGACCTCGCCGTCGATGATGCTTTCAAACTGCTGACGCTTCAGGTTTTTCTTATTTGCAGATCTACACGTGTTTGTACAACCAAGACACACGACAATCCAAATAGAAAGGCAGCAGCGTTTTATAGAGGGGTTTTGTGTTTCTGCTGCTCTACAGCACCCCCTGCTGGTCAGAGGAGGCACTGCGCGTGTTTGATTACAGTGAAAGGACCTAAATCCCCGAAGATCGCCAGGGAGGATTTAAAGATTAGACTCTGGCGCTTGTGTAACGCCCCACTCATCTCCCTCCTTTTAACACATCCCTGCATCTCGCCGTCACATCTGCATTTACCCCCTCGTCTCTTTGAGTCTTGTTCAGAGGAATCGACGTCCGAGCACGGATTTAATACGTTAAATCGATTTGTCTAAAAGGTGTGACGACGCTAATGTCTTCCAGGCTGCGCCCCCTTGTCCTTAAGAGACGAGGACTTCCAGCAGCTCGACACGTTCACAGTTAAATGCGTAGCTGGGTCAGGCGTCGGTTAATGAGTCGTGCTGGTTATTAGCTCGGTGCCTTGAGCCGAATTTAATTTTTAATTCCAGGCAAATTGTATCTTTTCACTTTTGTAAAAAAAAAAAATAATTTAAATAAAAATTCTACTTAATGAAACTTGATTTCACTCCACTTGAAAGTAATAAAAACGTTAAAATCAGTGTACCCTGATGTACAGTACTCTCAACAATACAGGCAGAAAAATATAACGGGTTGTAAAAAAAAAAAAAAAAAAAAAACTTGCTGAAACGTTTCGTCTCTCATCCGAAGGACTTCTTCAGTCTGAGGTGCTGTATTCAGCTCAGTCTCTTAAATAGCACCTTCTCAGAGTGGATCAACCAGTTTGCTGCTGACAACCAAAACCAGCTGATCACATGCTCAAGAAGGACCATCAGCCTAACAATGGATCATTAGCACACTGATGGCTGTTTACTATTCACAGAGGGCTGAGTGATACTAGCAATCACAGCATTGTAAGAGGGGGACAGTTGAACCCGGAGGCCTCCACCCCTGTTTAACGATGGACGGTTTCTTTTCACAAAGATGGCCTCCTTTACTCCTCTCTCAAACCATCGTTCCTCTCTGTCCAGGATGTGAACATCTTCATCCTTGAAAGAGTGACCGCTGGCCTGGAGATGAGTGTAGACCGCAGAGTCCTGGCCTGATGATGTTGATCTTCTGTGCTGGGCCATCCTTTTGGCCAGTGGCTGTTTAGTTTCCCCGATGTAAGACTGATCACCCTCCTGACACTGAACAACATACACAACATTACTCTGTTTGTGCCGGGGGACTGGATCTTTGGGATGAACCAGTCTTTGCCGTAATGTATTTTGGGGTTTAAAAGCCACTGGGACGTTGTGTTTAGAAAATAAACGTCTCAGTTTCTCTGATACTCCCTCAACATACGGAATGACCACTGGTCTGGGTCTGGGTTCCTCCTTTTCACCTGTTGGCTGACTGGAGTCCTGTTTGGGTTTCTTCTCTGCTTTCAGGAAGGCCCAGTTAGGATATCCACATTGCTCTAGAGCAGGGGTGCCCAACCTTTTTTGAACCAAGAGCTACTTTTGAAGTCGGCAATTTGCCGAGAGCTACTCGTCCAGTCTCATTATCAACAAACATAATTTTTCATCAATCCCTACTCCTCACTTCTTTAAAGTAAATAAAACAGAACGTGATGTGTCTACAGGAGACAACTTTTTATGCAAGCTGTATAAAATAAATGTGTCTCTACCTTAGTGGGACTTCTGACACTGAGAGGAGGCGGCCAGGGTCTCATAAGATGGGCAGTATGAGGTGGTTGCGAGGCGCAGGCAGGTCTCCAGATGATCATCATTCATTGTGGATCTGTTTTTGGACTTGATGATTTTCATGTGTGAAAAAGCAGACTCACACAGGTAGGTAGATCCAAAAAGTGCTGTTAAGTTCAAAGCACATCTTCGGATGTTAGGATACTTTTCTTCTGACAGCAGACTCCAGAACTCTCCATCCACGCCAGGTGATGCTCTGGATTTGATCCCAATGTCATTTTGCAGACTCAACACCTCATTTTCAACACCAGAGCTGTCCAGCTGAAACACGGACACCAATTTGGACACAATGTCATCCACATCAACATTTCCAAAAGGATAACACATGTAGCTGGTAACAGGCTCGATGGAGGAAAAGTCAGTAAATCGTCTCTCAAATTCTGCTGAGATGCTCTGAACCTGCTTAGAATAGTGTGCACTGTCCAGTTGTGGGACCTCTTTCCCATGGCGCTGTAGCTCTGCCTCCATGTGTGGGAAGTTTCGCAGGTCCCTGCGTTGCAGCCGACTTGTGAGCAGTTGCAGCCTGCTTTTGAAGGTGCTCACAGAACTGATCATGTGGATTATGTTTTTGTCCCTGAAGCTCCAAATTCAGTTCATTGAGCAGGCTGGTGAGATCTGTGAGGAAGGCTAAATCCAAAAGCCACTGGGTGTCCTCTAGTTTTGAATGTTCACCATGATCTGACAGCTTCAGAAAATCCCTGATCTCAGGCAACAGCTCACTGAATCTGTCCACCTGCTTAGCCACCTGACGTCCATGTGCAGCAGTAGGTCTGTGTGGTCTGCTCCTGCCTCCTCCAAGTGAGCCCGGAACAACCTCCTCTGCAGACTCCTGGCCCTTATAGAGCACACAGTTTTCATGGCAACATCCATCACTTCCTTCATGTTTAAAATCTTTCCACACAGGGCCTGTTGGTGGATGATGCAGTGATAGTGCAAAATGTCTGGGAAAGCATCATTCTGCTTGCAGAGTGCAACAAATCCACTGGTGTGACCAGTCATTGCTGGAGCGCCATCAGTTGTTATAGAAATTAGTTTAAAGAGGGGCAAGTTGCTTTTATTAACAAACTCCATAAACGCATTAAAAATATCTTCTCCTCTTGTGTGTCCCTTCAAAGGCAAGATGGTGAGCAGCTCCTCTTTTGCACTCATGTCTGCAAAGGCCATTCTGATAAAAATACACAGCTGGGCTACATCCACCATGTCTGTCGACTCATCAAACTGAAGAGAGAAACACTCGCATTGTTCCACGTCCTTTTTTAGCTGCTCCTCCACATCCACAGCCATTCCCTCACATCGCCGTGTCACTGTTTGTCTGGACAACTGCACGTCTTTAATAGCAGCTACGATCTCACTTATTTTTAAAATCATGAAAAAGCGCATCTGCAGCCTCAATAAACGCTTCTTTCATAACTTGTCCATCGCTGAAAGACTTCTTATGTTGAGCCAGGATGCGGCTAACACGGTAGGAAGCTATCGTAGCAGCTTTACCTTTTGTGCTGGGCCGAGTGAAGACTGATTGCTGGGCTGCAAGCTTGTTTTTTAGCTCCCGCACTTTCTGAGTCCGTTAAGAACTTTTAAGAGGGAAATCTGTCTCAAACCGTTTGTGCATCGTCTTGAAATGCAGCTCCAAGTTACACTTTTTGGGTAAGGCAACGCTCGAATTACAGATGAGGCAAATGGACTTCGAATTAGAATAAACAAAAAAATACTCCTCCTCCCACTCTGCGTGAAAATAATAAGTTTTCGTTTGCTTGTTCGCTAGTTTTCCATCCATGTTTTCTGCGCACCGACATTACTCCACTACTGAGCCTAAAGTCTCGTGAGAGCTGTGTCACCGCACACAAAACTCGCGAGACTATGTCTGTGAGAATACAAGTCAAGGCTTCGCTTCGCGGGCGACCGACTGGTTGGGCACACCTGCTCTAGAGCCTGTCTTGTGTAGGATTTCTCCTTCTGCCTGGCTCCTGAGCTAGTGGGGACGCTGTCTGCTCTGTGATACAGAGTCCTGATGACTCCTAACTTGTGCTCCAAAGGGTGATGGGAGTCAAACTGCAAGTACTGGTCTGTGTGGGTGGGTTTGCGGTACACTTCAGTTTGCAAAGTCCTCCATCAGAGACTGAGACCTCACAGTCCAAGAAAGCCAACCTGCCATTTTTTACATCTTCTCGTGTGAACTTGATGTATTTATCCATAGAGTTGATGTGGTCAGTAAAATGTTGGACTTCCTGAGATTTGATTTTAACCCAGGTGTCGTCAACATACCTGAACCAATGACTTGGTGGTGTCCCTGAAAAGGACGTCAAGGCTCTCTTTTCTACCTCCTCCATGTACAGGTTGGCAACAATAGGAGAAACTGGAGACCCCATAGCACACCCATGTTTCTGCCTATAATATTGCTCCCCATATGTGAAGTAGGTTGACTGCAGGCACAGTTTCAAGAGTTGACACAGTTGTTCTGTGGAAAGCGTGGTCCTGCTGCTCAGAGTGGTGTCTGATTTTAATCTTAAACTGACCACCTCTACTGCATCATCAACAGGAATGCACGTAAAGAGTGATGTGACATCAAAAGAGACCATTGTTTCATCAGTCTCCATGACGACATCCCTGGTGTTCTGAGCTGCCAACTTAAAAAAAAAATAAATTAATCCGTCCAGAGGACCCGACTGAACTTAAAATCAGCGGGTAACTTAATTCATCACATCGTGCCTCTGAGTTTGACCCTTTCTGTCTGAACGGTTCTTACCTGAGAAAGAGCTCCAGATGTTTGATCAGGGCTCGGAGATTCCTCTCGGGGAGTTGCATTTTCCCCAGGATTTCAGGAAGCTTCACTGAAAGCAGAGGAAGGGGGTTTGCCAGTGTTTTATACCCGATGGTCCGAGGCGAGATCATTGACAAATAGATGTGACGGAAATGACAACAACCAACCGAAGAGTCGCAGCAGGTGCTGCGAGCCGTACAGGTAAGAAGGAGGGGGAGGCTGGTCGTTCTGCGGGTAGTTGTCAGGAGTTAGCTTCCAGCTCAGAACCTGGTTGAAAAGACCGAAACACACGAATCAAAGGCCTGGAAAGAATGCTAACACTAGAGAAATCGCATTTCCTGCGAAAACACAACGTGAATGCTTATTGCTGAAGAACTTGCAGAAAAACAGCTGAAAATAGCTAAAAAAAAAACAAAAAAACAGCTGAAATGTGGCTGAAACGAAGAACAAGACTAAAGTAGCAGAAGAAAGCAGAAATAACACATTTGCTGAATTGGGTTCAAATAAGCAGAAATTAGTGCAAAAACTAGGAAATTACATGAAAAAGCTGAAATGTGCAAAAACTGCTGAAAAGTAGCTGCAATGGCAGAAAGAAGCTTAAACTTCCAGAATGAAGCGGAAAGAGCTGAAATTTGTTTTAAAAAAAAAGGAATTAGATGAAAAGGCAAAATTTAGCATAAAACAACTAAATAGTAGCTGAAATAGCAGAAACTAGCAGAAAAGGCTGAAATGTGCATAAGCCGAAATTAGCATAAAGAAGTCAATTAGCTTGAAAGTAGCAGAAATTATCATGAAAAACCTGAATTTATTTGAAAATGGCTGAAATTAGCTAAAAAGGTAGCTGAAAATTAAAACGTTTAAATTTGCACAAAAAGGCTGAAAGAAGCAGAAACAACTGAAAAGTATCTCAAAAAGCAGCAAGAAGCTGAAATTACAAGGAAGTAAAGAGAGCACATTTTTGCTGAATTAGGCTAAAAAACTTGAGTGCAAAAAATATAGAATTAGCTGAAAAAACTTAAATTAGCATAAAACGGCTAAATAATAGTTTAAATAGCAGAAAATCTGAATTGAGCAGAAATGAGGAGTTGCAGGATGTGAAGAGCTCCATTCATTTTCAATTAGAAAATCGTGGCTGAAAAGGCTAAATGTTTCAAAAAGTAAAAAATGCACAAACACCAACAGTCATAGCAGGAATAGAAGGAGCCGAACGACGAAAACATCCTGCTATGAGCTAAACGCAGTTTATTCCTAATAACAGAAGGGTCTCAGCATCATCACCTCGTTAAGCTCGTTGTTCCTCCAGCTCTCCAGGCCGTAGAAAGGCCCACTTCTCTCTTTGCTCGGCGTCAGAGGTAAAGGTGACGATGAGCCACTGTGGACTGGAGTTTCTGAGTATGAAGTGAAAAAAAGAGAAGACAAACTGATTATGAAATTAAATCACATGTGGTGTTTCAAAATGACTAATAAAACAACTTATAGACACTTTAGCAGAGGGAAAAAGAAAAGTGTTAGGAAGAGGAAATCCAACTGCACCATCTACTGGACAAAAAAGGCCACTACAACCCAAAATAGTGCATTTAAAAAATAATAAAAAAAAAAAAGTTCCCAAACCTGGTCTTTGAGGAACACCACCCTGCATGTTTTACCCATTTCTTTGCTTTGACACCTGATTTGAATGATTTGGTGATTAACAAGCTTCAGCAGAATTTGAGAAAGAAATTAAATCACTGAATCAGGTGCATTGAAGCAGGGAAGCAGCTAAACATGCAGGGTGGTGTTCCTCAGGGACCAGGGTTGGGAACCACTGAATTTTGATAATAAAATTAAAATATAAAATTTTAATAAAAATGAACTATTTTCGCCTCATCAAAACAGATATGTTAATGTTCAAAAACGGGTATATTCTCATTCTTTTGTTAGGTGTCAAAGCGTAAACATACTTCTGTCGAGGTTGAGGAAGAACTTGGGCTGCGCCGATGTGTCCACCAGACTTCGTTTGAGCTGAGGTGACGCTGTAGCGCTACCCCCACCTGTCAAGAGTATTATATTTAGACGCTAAAATCCGATCACGAGCAGCTAAAAACATCACGTACAGCTTTGAAAATGAAACTAACTCTGGTGTCCGCCGCTGCTCCCTTCAGCCGGCCGTTCGCTTCCCGATGTGTTCCTCGTGGAGCGTCTGAGGGACTGAGACTGGTATGAGATGCAGTCCATATCCGGGTGGCGCCGACGCTTCGGCGTTGGGGCTGGAGCGGTGGGCGTGGTGGCAGATGTGTCGCTTAGAGCCGGCTGGCTGTCCGTGGACTGAGGGGTGGGCGGGTTGTGGCCCGGAGGGCTCGGGCTGCGTTCTCGTTGGGCACTAAAACGCCGTAGGATCGGGAGAAATGAACAAATAAATGTGGCAAGTATGGCGGCGTTTGTAACTCGATGCACTTACTTGCTAGAAGAAGGGGAGCCATCGTTCATGGCGAGGAAGAGTCTGGACGAGCTGACCTTCTTAAACTGAGCTTGTTCACAGGGATAGAGGAGGATCATGGGTAAGGTGAAGTCGAACGTGATCCTCAGGCCATCGACCATTTCCTTACAGAGCTCCTCACTTAAAAATGACACGTAAACAGAGTTCGGAATACGTACAGGTCTGATCCCATTGCCTGCATCCTCGCTATGAACTCACCTCTTCTCCGGCGGGATCGGCTGTGGACTGCTACTCTGCGCGGCGTTCTGTTGCCGCCTGTACCTGTCGTTGGCCATGAACGCCTTGTTTATGGCGAAGTGTTTGACGTAGGACTCGAGGATGTGCACCACGTTCATCTGACAGGGAACCATGACGAGCTGGAGGAGGAGAAACACGGCGGTAGCAAACGATTGTGGAACTTAACGGCCAAGCTGTAATATAACAAACGCAACTTTTCCCCGTTCTTTGTTGAATGCATACACACGAACAGTCCATTGTCATGGCAACAACGTGTATTTTCGAAAGGGGAAGATCACATGACTGCCCAATTCAAAACCTCGATCACTCACTTCTTCATGAATTTGGACAATAGTCTGGTCTTGGTCTGTGATTGACAGGTGATCGGTGGGAAAAGGAGATTCGTATTTTGTGTGCGGTTGTCGATTAGTATAACGGTATGTTAGTGCTGGCAGTTATCAACAGAGTTGTGGATGGGTGTCTTGGGGGGGGGGGGGGGCACCTTTTTCCTCTTGTTGATGTAAAAACAGTCGTCTTCCAGTTTCTTCTTCAGAATATCAGGGATGTTGATGTCGACATGAACAATCTTCTCCTCATACTCTCGCTTCATGTTCATGTCCGGCTCAACCCTCTGAAAAACAGAAATTACATTTAAATCTTGAAAAATATTAAAATGTCTGATACTAAGAAGTAGAGCCTGACCGATATGGAAATTTTGGCTATCGATACCGATACTGGGCGGGGAAACCGATATATTGACTGGAAATTCTTGAGCTTTGTCCACACCCAAGAACGTAAGTGAACAGCTACTTTTAAACCCGTTTTAATACTTGAAGCCTTGAAACAGTTCCTAACGTGGATTCCCAGTTTCTATCTTCCACTGTTCACCATAAATGTATCAAGTGCGTTACAAAAATATAAATTAAACACAGAAACACTCTTCCCTGTTCATTGTTTAAAACAGTCAGTCACGTGTGGAGAATGTCTAATTATGATCGACTGCAGAGTTGATTTTTCTTTGCAGAGGAGTAAAAATATCAGAAACATTTCATTGAGGACGACAAAGATAACGTTACTATCACTGATATATATTTTACCTCTATGTTAGATTTATTGTTTTGGATAGTTTTACAAGGTGATAGCATATGCTAGGTTATCTAAATGTCAGCTTGCTAACTTAAGAGGCACATAGCTAATTAATTAATTCATTCATTCATTCAAACTTTATTTATACAGGTTAGTCTCATTGAGCCTCGAGGACTCATTAACAAGAGAGAAGACCCGTTTTAAACAAAGAATACAGATGAGGTACAAACAACAATAGACAATCATATAAAAGCATATAAAATGAGAAGAGATAATTGAAAAATGAAACCAAAACAGCTACATTATAGAGATGACTACTGCAATAGACTACTGCTGCTAATGCTAATTTTACTGATGCTAATGCTAATACTGCTAATTCTAATTTTACCAAATGTTAATACTGCTAATGCTAGTTCTACCAATGTTTAAGCAAATGCCACTAACGCTAGTTCTACCAATGTTAATGCTAATACAAATAATGCTAGTTCTATTATTGTTAATGCTAGTTCTACCAATGTTAGTGCTAATACTGCTAATGCTAATTCTACCAAATGTTAATACTGCTAAT